ATGGAGACTGTGGAGAAGGATTATAACATTGGAGTTTCTAGGCAACAAGTTTCTAAGCAAGAAGGCCACTGTTGTTACAAAAGTTCAAGATTCACTAAGGTGTGGCCAATGTGGAAGAAAGGGCCACAACAAAAAGACTTGTCATAGGAATCTCCTCCCTAAAAAAAAAAAATCAAAAAGAGGAAGGCTGAGGTAAACATCTAAGGCTAAACATTTGTTAATTTTATAAATTTTTATGTTTTTGGAATATGATGCAACTGACAGTTTATTATTTTTTGCCTCATCCCAGCAAACTACTCAAACAAGTGAAGCTGGTCCCAATACAACAACAAGGCGAGCTAAGCCTGCAAGATCTGTGTAGAAAGGAAAATGGAAGAGAAAGGCCACCACTACAGCTGGAAGTTCAAATATACCACCAACTGATTCAGCTGCTCCATCCTCAACATCTGCCCCTCCTGCAAGTGGATCTGCCCCTCCTGCATCAACTGAAGCTTCAACTGGCAATTCTTATTTCTTGAGGAAACGACCTATGGTTGTGGGAGCATCAGACTTGAGCAAGGAATGATGATGGTCTTGCACACTTGTCTTTCTTTTAATGGTGGGAAATCACAGACTTCTAGTAGCTGGTTTGGTTAGGTTAGGTTATTTTGTTATCAGAAGACAGTTTTAGCTTTATTAGCTAGTTGGGTTAGGTTATAATGTTATTTTGGAAGACAAGTTGCCTTATTTTGGGAAGATTGTCCATAGGAGATATTTTGTTAGTTTCTATTTTTTTGGAAAACGGGTACTGTTTTTTTGGAAAACAGATTCTGTTTTTTTGGAAGGTTGTAAATGCTATTATGTGGCCTATTTTGTTGTTATGCTACCCTAAACCCTGAATTTGTTCATATTTTGTAGAAACATGTTGTTGGAAAGAACATGTCCATTTTGTACATATTATTGCATTACCAAAATGTCACATTGTATGTAGATTAAATAGCCATCATGCTCTGTTTGTACCGTATCTGACCCTCCACTCGTACAACGACACGTGGATTTTAGAAACTTGCCCAAGTACTCAAGGCCTTGGACAATCGGCATCGGCCACCGATGGCATTGTCTCAAAGCTGCGAACAGCCATTACAGGCCCAGCTCGTCTACAATCGGCATCCCTTACCGATTGTACAGAATCAACCTCGAAGTATCCGCCCAAAATATCTAAAGACTCGTGTCGACCTCAGAGGGCCCTCCCACGAGTCCCACATCGAAAATGAGTACTAAGAGCATACAAAATGCCCTCTATAAATAGGCCCCTCCACTACAATATAGGGGTAAGACTTTTCAGCTTGACTTCTATACTTTTATATGGTCAACAACAAGAGCTCTTATAAACAATCTTACTTGAGCATCGGAGGGTCTTAGGCTGGTTCCACACCGGTTCCATAGACCTCACGAACCTCAAACTCTCTTCTATTCAGGATCTGCATCCAAGGACAAGAAGGATCTGCATCTATCACTCAATCGATCTGCTAGATCGTCCTCATCACTTGTAAGTTGCACTCATCTCTATCTGTTCAGATTACCATTACATAGCCAAAATGTTCATTCCCATTACATAACCAAAAGCACAGTGCTTTCCATACCAAAGGCACAGTGCAGACCCTAACCAAAAGCATACTACATTACACCACAAGCACACTACATTACACCACAAGCACAATACTTCCCATACCAAAAGCACAATGCATCCCTAAAACACCCCATTTCATGCCAATTCCTAAGTCTTCAGCTTCAATCCATCTGATCCACCATTCCCTCCAACGAACAACATTGCAATAAGCATCCACAACACCACCAATGCTGCCCAAAGAACCTTCTCTCTGCGTCTTGCCTTTGCTAGTGAATTCTCCAACTTATCCCGCGATTTTAGCAACCCATAATCATAACTTTAGACCTTTCACACACTTCCATATCATACCAAACCCAGAAATCACAACCTCCTCTACCCTGCACAAAACCCACTCTGTAAATTCATATGTGCACATGCTACAATTCAAAATATAATATTTTGCATCAAATCCAGCTTTTTACCTTTCCACACACAGAAAATCGCCTTCCAGGATTCGAAATTGTCCACGACGTTATGATTCTTGCATTTTTACCACAACAACACACCATCGCTTTATGCTCCATTTCTCCTTCATTTTATGGGTTAAGGAGCCTGTACACTTAAATAAACCTTTTGGGCGGCTCACTTCTTCGAAATCGTAGATCTGAGCTCTGAGCTATGGAGATTTTGGATTTATGTTAAACAAAGGTTGAGGATGAACGACGTCTTTGGGGCTTTGTCTTCGATTTGCAGCTTTGCAACGCGTGCCCAATTTGGGCGCGATTTTCAATTTTTTTTTTTTTTTTTGGAAATGTCGAAACCCAAAACTACCCTTCAATTGGCATGCGCGGAATGGTCAATCCACCGATGGGGTGGGTCCCATGGGTGCCACGTCAGCATTTAACAATTGACCGTCTGGTCAACTTGACGGAAGGATGAAATTAGACCAAATTGAAAACATATGGGTGTAAATTGATAAAATTGATACCATGTGGCCCAATTCGAGGATGACCCTAAACCATCAGGGTGTCGTTTGTCGTTAGCCCAAAAATTTATTAAATAAACTTGTGTGTTAAAAAAGAAATAAACTTTAGTAACATTTTCATTTTTGTAGGAAAAAAAAAAAAAAAAACATTGTCATTGTTGTTAATGTTATTGTTAGCGGAAAACAATAGTTAATTCTAAATATAATCATGTCATTTTGAGTAGAATTGTACTTTTTTTTTAAAATACAAGTGATAGTCTAAACTAGACGGGAGGGGGTTTCTCAACCTCAAATTTTTTATTTTTGTATGTATAAATCTTGTACAAGAAACTTATATTAGCCTAAGAAGAGAAAAATATAGAAAAAGGATCAAAGAAATACACATTGTGCCATCAAACATATGATTAAGCAACTAATTTGCTTGGCTTTTTCATTATTTTGTTTCTCCAAAAGCTGTGCACCTCCTTCAGCCTTTTCTCAAATCCCTTCAAATACTTTGTAGGATTTTTCCTTGAGCATGATGGAAATATGATCCGCTAGCTCACCAACAAAATCTGACAATTTATTAAGACATGGTTAGTTACCAAGCAATATTTCATTCATTTAAGAACACACCAATTATATATGCAAATTCTCCTTTCAACCTAATGCCAATAAAATTGGAAGCAAAAATAAATCAAGCTCAAATGGATTGGACATAACTCACATCTAATTAGAAAAAAATAAAAAATCATAGGATAATTCTTAGACACGTACGGTACGACATATGAACACACTATTATCTGAACCGTTGAATCAACAATCTGTCAATCATCCACGCAACAAATAATGGAAAAAAGAGTAAAGATATATAGAGACTCACAATTGGGTTTCGTTCACATGTCAGAGCCCCTGCTGGTTGCCGGAGAAATCAAAGTTTCCATGTATATGGCTACATCTGACTGAGTCCCAATAGCAATACTTCGAAACGTCTTTCCCTTGGGATTATACAATACCAAGATATTTCGATTATAATCCAACAAAACTTCTCCACTCTCTAAAATACACAAAGGCTTCAAGAACGATTCATCAACCTCTTTTGGTAAAATCTGATCCAAATAAATTTCTATGGGTTCAGCCCAAGATTCTCTGACCCGATATTCCTTCAAAACCCATATTCTAAGGTCCGAGCCCATCGGGTCGGAGTATACAAACAGAGAATTTCTACTAACCCCAATCCCAGCAAAGACATAGTTTTCTTCTGTGCCAAGGTAGGGCAATGACACCGTCTCCTGAAACTTCTCCTCTGCCAAATCAAAAGACAAAATCCTAGAACCAATGGGACGAGGGCCCCCTGCCCATTGAAGCTCTACCCAATACAGAGCTCCATTAAAAAAGCAGCCCTTCCCGTTCAAGCAAACATAGCCATCGTCTTTATTGCTCCTACTCCTCCTCCTCCATGAATTGGTTCTGAGAGAGAAAAGCTCAACTACAGTCTCCTTGGAAATCGCAGTTCTCGACCCTCGGATGACCTTGTAGTCATCCGTGGTTGAATCGTAGCCGAACCCAAAAAACAAGAAGCCGGAAAAAAGAAAAGAAGGCTTCAGCAAGAGCTTCGAGTGTCCAGTGCACGGGTTCCATATGACAATGTTGGTGCAGTTGACTTCCAGGCAAATCAAACCGTTGCAAGATCCCACAATTCTTGTGATCAAAATATCTGGGATCTTCACCGGCAAATCAAGCTCTCTGTTTGCAACATGAACATGATCATTGTCCAATCCTACGGAGACTATGGAATAGAGACGAGTGGACAAGACAAAGAGGGTGAGGCTGTTGTTGATGCTGCACGTGGCCGCTGCATGGATGAGGTGCTTCATGACAAAATGAGAATCGGAGATCAAGACACGCCATGACTTGCACACGCACTGGAGGCGGAGTAAAGATTTGGCAGGGAGCCTCGAGAGGATCTCGACAAGGATATCGTTGTTGAGAGAAGGTGGTGGAGGCACAGCCGCAAAAATAGAGAGGAGTAGTTGCTTCAGCTGCCGGCTGCTAAGGGCGTAGGCGGCCAAACTGGTTGTTTTTTGTGGTGAGTCTTCCGAAGTCGATGTTCTTGGAAAAAGGCGGCAAATGCAACAAGAAAAGCTCCTTGAGTTTGTCATTGTTGCAGAAGAGAAGAAGGCTTATGTTGCCAACTGGTTTAAAGTAGTTTGGATCTTCGGTTTCTACTCTCAAATGGCTCGCTACAGCTAAAAAACTGTCCACAAGCATAGCACGTAACGTATTTCGCTATTTTATATTGGTGTTGTCGAGGATAATTTGGGCCCAATGAGGAATTTTTATCTTGTTTTGATTTTTTTACAACAGACAGTTCCAAAACCTTGCGATGCAAGTAGGAAGGAAATTGTAGACCAAACACATTACAACGCTTCTGTTCAGCCAACCTTGTCCATCCTCTTCAACAACTTTACAAAGGATATACTTCAAATCTCTAACATGGAAGTTCCACAACGGATCTCGTTCAAACTCAGCAGGTCCTGGCAAAGGTAACCATCTCCTTCATCGACTTCCAAGTCGGGTTGGCTAGTCCTGTTGATACTTCTTTAAAGTAAAGCCTGCACATTGCTTGCTAATTTTTCCAGTCCAAGCAATTTCCCAGCCTTGGGACCCCCTCATCACGCAAAACTTGATCCAAAACAGTTGAAATCTAAAATGAGAAACAATAGCAAACCAAGCTCAAATTGATCTGACGGAATAACTTCACTGAAATTAACAAAATGGAGGAGGAAAGGACAAAGCTTATTGTGTTTATTACATGGCAAATTGCTGCAGTTACAGGCACCTGGAGTCTGTGTTGTAAACAGATATGAAGTATAAACTTACACTATAAGATATAATAAGTTTAAAAGTGTGAAAATGAGCAAAGAGTAAAACAGAAATAACAAAAATTAATATATAAAAAAGTAACACCAAGAAAACGGAAGAAAGTGGGTAAGTCATAAAATGGGTAAGGGACAGGCAATTTTACCAATTATTATACAGGCTAGTACTAGTGATACCGGGTAGCCACAGTTCTAAAAATCTCATGGTTATGGTGGTTGTTTCCACACATTGCATTCCATTACTGCCTACTCAAACATTATAGCGTCTAGAATTGCTTCCCATTACTTCATCTCTAAATAAGTAACAAAACACAACTTCGTCTCTAACTTATCCTCTAAATAAATAAATAAAAACTCAATAATGCTAGATGCACCAACACTTTGAGTTTGATGAATAACTGCTATAATTCAAACACCATGTAAAAGAATATGCATATTAAATCTTATTTGCGCAGACTCAACATTATGTTGTTCCTTACACAAAATTGAATAGTATCGGTTAGAAAGAGTGAAGGAAAGACTCACATTGTTGGTCTCAGATGTCTGCCCAACTTTCAACTACTGGTGAAACCAAAGTCTCTACGTACATAATTGCTTCAGGCAACCAAATAACAGGCGAGCTAAGAACACTCCTAAATGTATTTTCCTTTGGATTATATGATACCAAGCCACCTGCACAACTCATGCAAACTTCACCGCTCTCGAAAATACATATAAGATTCAGAAAAAATACTCCTTCAAGTGGACGAGAAGGCTTCGACGGAATGTCTATGATTTTAGTCCAAGATTCTTTGACCCCATATTCCTTCATAACCCATATTGTAATTGCAATATCACTGAAATTTCTGTGATTGAACATATATACAAAAAGACAATTTGTAGTAGTCCCAATACGGATGGAGATATATTTTTGGTCGCTAAGATTGGATGATAATGGCACCATTTCCTGAAATTTCTCCCCCGCTAAATCAAAAGAGATGATTCTTGAACTAAGTACATAGAAAGACGCCTCCAGCCTCCATTCAAACTCTACCCAATGCAGAGCTTCATTTAACAAACACCCCTGCCCATTCAATTTAACATAGTTAAGGTCTTGAACAGTCCTCCACGAACCCGATTTTAGAGTAAAGAGCGCAATTGTGGTTGTAAGCAAACCACTTTCACTACTAGATGTGCCACCCACTATAACCTTGTAATCTTCTATGGTGGAATCATAACCGAATCCATAAAACATTGGACTAGAAGGAAAATAAGTAACTCCTGGTAACTTCAGGGTATCTCTAGTACACGGGTTCCATAAGAAAAAGTCGCCTTTGTTTTCGTGCAGACATATCAAGCCGTTGCAAGAACCCACAATTCTCATTCGGTCAAGCACTAACGGTACTGGTAAATGAAGCTCTCTGATTGCAACAAAACTATTGACATCCTCCAGTTCTTCGTAGTCTATGGAATACAGAGGACTGTTTGAAATAAGGAGCTTACAGCTATTAGCATTGACCCCTCTGACTGCGCGGCGGAGGTGCTTCCTAACAAGCTGAGAATCGGAGATCAAAGTATGCCATGACTTGCATACACACCGAAATCGGAGTAAAGATTTGACTGGAAGCCTTGACAGTATTTCAATGATGATGTCATCGGAGTCGATACGGGGTCGTTTAAACACCCCAGCAGAGGGGTCCAGTTTCTGCCGCCGGTTCTGAAGGCCCGCCATGTTAAAAGCTACAGAGGCGCCGCCAGGATCATCTACTATTAGGGTGGGCTTAACCTCCCAAACCAATTTTGTTTTCTCTATAGAAAACAAAAAAAATAAGTTTCTGCCAAAATTTAAACCCTAAACTAAGAAAGACCTTAAATTAAACCCTAATACTAATGGAGTAAGTGCAGTCAGTGTGCATATAACATGCTCATGATTCATGAAACAATTTTAATTTTGTATAAAATAAATTAAATTAAAGTAAAACAAAGAAATGAAAGTTGACTTAAATGTTGAAGACTTACCTTACCCGATTCTGTGCCGCCCTGGACTTGGAGATTGGAAGGACCACGAGAACTGGGAGAAATTCAGAAGAACGATTGAAAGGAGAGAAGAAGAAAAGGACGAAGGTGAGCTGAAGAGGGCTGATTGATTCAGCTGAAGAGCAAAAGAAGACTTCGACCCAAAAATAAAAGAGAAGGAAGAAGGTGAGCTGTAGGTAAACTAATAACCTGTTTAGGAATGATTGTTAGTTAAACTAATTCCCAATAGTACAAACCCCGTGTAGGTAAACTAATTCCCAATAGTATAAGCCCACGTTTATAGGAATGATTGTTGGTTAACCAGATAATTAGGGCATGTTTGGTATCCTATTCCTATCCAAGAAGGGAGCTCAAAAATTGTCATTTTTCTTAAAAACAAGGAGTTCTTGAATTAAATTCATTGTTCTGGGCAAGTGACTCGCTAGTTTCATGTTCTTTATCTTCCTATTTTGTCGGGA